TAGCAAGACGGAAGCTAGCTAGCTAAACAATTGAGATCTTAAGAAGTATATGTCTCTTTTATATTTCAACAATCTGGAGCTTCCAAAAATGAGCAGGGCTTAAGTTGTGTCAATAATTAGGCCAAATGTTGATTTTATGGCACAAACACAAACTTTGTGTGTTTCTGATTATACAGCAGTTCTTCTCTCAAAGCCAAAGCTGCACAATAGTGGGAACATTGGGCACATATGTTTGTAAGAAACATCCTTTACCTCCATGTGAGAAACTCTGTCTCACATGGAGACTGCATGCCTGCGACTGTGAGCTTCACCGCATCGATGCTTTTGCATTTCAGCAGCTCTGGGGTTTTCAGCAGCATGAGGTTCCACTGCTGGACATCAGGGACCTGAAACAGCCCCACATATTACAGGTCAGCATGTTGCTAATGGGTAAATGTCTTTAACAAGAAATAAGAACAAGCAATATCTCACCAGGTCTGAGATGGTGTTGTGAAGAAGCTCAGCATCTTCAGTGATTGTTTGCCCAACAGTAGGACTCCAGCACCTCGCCAGCTTTCTCTGGCTTCTCTGGACAAGATGTTTGAGGTAAATGTGAACGATGAGTCTGTAGGCCTCATTCATCACCCTCTGAGTGAAACAGAAGAACAAGAACAGTACAAAACAACACAAATATATTTACACACAAACATATGGGAGGCTGCAATCAATGAAGTAACAAAAATGGGGAAAATGGACACACTCAAAATGGTAATAGTTTTGTTGTCATTCTGTCATGTTAAAGAAAGAGAGAGTGTCGAAAAGAGAGAGTCAAGACTTTACTAGACTTTTACTATACCACTGGCGAGGGGGCTGTCGCGTTTCTTGAGATTAGCTGTATATTGCTGGTGATATTTTAAAATGTTTGTTTCTTGTGTTGAATGTCTCCAACATTTCACCTCGGAGGGACTAACCAATAAACATAATGTCTGTTTAACACAGGTGTCCATGCTGTCAACAATCCTTGAAGAACTCTTAATTAAAAAGTGGTTCTTTGATGAAAAGGGTCTTACAAAGAACCCTTGAAGAGCCCTTTCTTCAGAAGCACATGGTTCTGGGTAGAAGCGTACCTTCAGTACTTCCTTATACTGGCGCAATGACAGCTCTGGGAAATTCATCTGTTCTTCTAGGATGGAGGTGAAGATTTTATTGTTCCTTGTTTTGAAGTAATTCTTAAGGTTTTTCTGTGGGACAGAAATTGTGCAAAACAAAACTTTTTCTGACTAAAGTAACTTTTTTTGGGTCAAACAGCTATTTCCAAAGTACAGAAAGAACTTAATGCTCAATAGAAATATATGAATAAACTTGTGATTAAGTGGAACAGCTACCTCTGCGATGTCAGCTGTGATTTTCATGAGATACTTCAAAGTAAAAGCCTCCATTTTTTCACATTGCTCCACAGTCTCCTGCAGAAGGGATCTTGTGATGCCTTTACTTTTGGTCTGGATGTGCTTCCTAAGAGAAAAAATCATAAATGTAATATATATTTTCTTACATACATTAAACCTTTTAACTACGTGGTGATTCACATCTTCTAATTGTATTCCTATAGTGTGTTGGCTGTTCTTGTGTTTTTTATTCTAAATTATTCTTCTTAAGGAACAGTAAGTCTGAACTGAATAAAACCAGAAATACTCACTTAAGTTCATTACAGGTGGTCAAAGTCTTAAAGAAGTGTATGGTTTCTGGTTTGTCCATTTTTGCTTTTTTTCCAAGAATGTCATTCTGCTCATTGGTGTACCTTTCAAAATAAAAGAGAAAATGCTGTTTAAACAACATGAGTACTGAGTTTAATTGGTCATATTTATGTTTATTTCATTAAAGGGCAATAAAGAAAAAAAAAGGAAAAAAATGTAAACTCTCAGATGTTCTTGATCAAATCTCAAAATTTTATTTATTTTTAAAATGAGTCTGGTTGCTGTTGATGTGTAGATTAAGAATTTATTGCTGAGATAAAATAGATTCTCACCTCTGCAGAAGCATCACCAGCTCTTGGAAACAAACTTCTCGGACGTCATTAGACAGTTTAGAGCTGATTTTTTGTGCTTCTTTGGGCATGGCATCAATGCACTTATAGAGAAACAAAAACAACATTATTATACAACAAATAAAGAAACAGACAATTAAATTAAGAAAAACAAAGCAATTAAATATCTAATATAGAGAAATGTTATCAGAATTTGTCATTATAAATATACAATAGAAATAACAAAGTTAATCAATTTTACAAAAGATATTAACAGACAAATATATGCACACAAACATTTTCTTTCCCATTGGCTCTTAGAGTAACAACAGAAACTCTTATAATTTCTGGTTTACCAAGTACCTGAATAATGTCCACATAAAATCCAACGTAAGCTTCTTCACAATCACAACGTTCCTGCCTTCTCTCCATCTGCAGGATTTCCTCCAGGGACCGTCTGACCTCTTTCTGTGGATAAAAAAAGTATTCCAGGTGGAACCTTTTATAAAAAGTTTAAAAGCTATTTTTGCCATAGATTTCTATCTATTTTTAGGCAATCTTGATGTAGGTTGTTAACTAAAGCAAGTAGGCCTACAAGAATGCAGCTCCCTGTAAGTGAGTTCCCCTAAAAGACATGGTATAGTTTACACTGTATGAGCACCCTAACAAGTTACTATTCTTACCTGTGCATTGTCAAGCAGTTTGTCCTTTGCTTTTTCCACCCATTCTGTGACCAGCAGGAGGTCGACGTTGAAAGGTGATGTCAGTGTCGTTTAGAATTTCCCTAAGAAGTCCTATTTTGGTATGGTGATATTAGTCTCCATCAAGTGGTGGCACAATGAAGACAAAAACTGATTTTCTTATTGATTTTATTTATGCTGACAGAAAACGAAAAGTAATGTTTGTGTCCCTGCAACCCGAGCTTCTTAACAAAATAGTCATAGAAGAATACAGTGTATAACACTAAGAAAAAGAAACTGTTACATTAATGCAGAAAATGCTCTAGCGCCACCATGAGGCTGACATTTGTGGTTTGGAGTAAAATTTGATACACACATTTTTGCCCCCCTGACCTTTCCTTTGGCACCATCATTTGTTCAAAATGTTTATTTGTTCATTAGACCCATGGATGTATAAAGAGAACTGGATACCACCACCATGTTTAAACCCTCCGTTAACTTGAATGGGGATGAAATGATTTAATCGTTCGGTTCTTCTAGATTTGGGTAAATAACACTTCAAAATCCTCAATTTTTTATTGAATCATGCTGAAGTTTATTTGCTGGAG